CTGCACTCCAGCCTGGGTGACAGAGCAAGACTCTGCCTCAAAAAAAAAAAAAAAAAAAAAAAGTAAACCTGATGTTAAAGGGCTGAATAATAAAATGGGGATTAAGGGCATTAAAATAGGTTAGGAGCACAAAGGTAACAACTAAGACAAAAATACATTTCCTACATTAAAACAAAATTGAAGTTAAAGAGCAAAGAATGCACCTCTTATAGAAAAAGAAACAGCAAATATCATGAAATACACACAACTACAAAATGTCATGACAGACCAAACATATCATGTGCATCAATATCAAGAGGCTTCATTCACCTATTACAAAAGATTTTCAATTTGGATCACAGATCAGGACAAACTTTGTGCTGTATATAAGATGGAGACCTAAAACAAAGGGATTCCCAAAGACTGAAATAAAGAAGTAGACAAATACACACTGGGCAAATGGAAAAATAAAAAAGCAGGGTTAATGATTCTGAACAGATAAAGTAGATTCAAGTCCCCAAAGCATTAAGCATGACAAAGCAGGGCATCTCAATGCTGAAAGTCATGGTTCATAAAGATAGAATACTTATGAATATGTATGTGCCAAACAACATGGCAATCACGTTCGTGAAGTAAAAGTCTAGGGATTGAAAGTATAGAGACACACCAACATTTCTTTAGTGAGACATTAACACACACTCAGTCCAAGACAGATCAAGAGGACAGAAATGAAGTATGTAGAAAACCTCGACAACACAATCAAGGTAAACCTTGTACATAGAGAGGCACACCTCGTTTTACTGTGCATCACTTTATTGTACTTTGCGGATATTGCATTTTTTACGAGTTGAGGGTTTGTGACAACCCAGCATTGAGCAAGTCTGTTGGTGCCATTTTTCCAGCAGCGTGTGCTCCTTTCATGCCTCTGTGTGATATTTTGGTAATTCTCACACTATTTTAAACATCCTCATTATTTATTTATTTATTTTTTTTTTTTTGAGACAGAGTCTCACGCTGTTGCCCAGGCTGGAGTGCAGTGGCGCGATCTCGGCTCACTGCAAGCTCCGCCTCCCGGGTTCCCACCATTCTCCTGCCTCAGCCTCCTGAGTAGCTGGGACTACAGGTGACCGCCACCGCGCCCGGCTAATTTTTTGTATTTTTAGTAGAGACGGGGTTTCACTGTGGTCTCGATCTCCTGACCTTGTGATCCGCCCGCCTCGGCCTCCCAAAGTGCTGGGATTACAGGCTTGAGCCACCGCGCCCAGCCAACATCCTCATTATTATTAATCTGTTATGGTGATCTGTGATCAGTGATCTTTGCTGTTACTATGGTAATTGTTTTAAGGCACCGTGAGCCACGCCCATATAAGGTGCCAAGCTGAATCCATAGATGTTGTGGGTTCTGACTGCTCTACCCACTGGCTGTCCCCCCCATCTCTCTTCCTTTCCTTGGGCCTCTCTATTCCGCAAGACACACAACAATATTGAAATTAGGCCAGTTAATAACCTAACATGGGCTCTAAGTGTTCAAAAGGAAGAGTCCCATTTCTCTCACTTTAAATTGAAAACTAGAAATGATTAAGCTCAGTGAAGAAAGCATGTTGAAAGCCAAGATAGGCCCAAAGCAAAGACTCTTGTGCCAAACAGTGAGCCAAGCTGTGAATGCACAGGAATAATTATTGAAGGAAATGAAAAGTGCTACTCCAGTGAACACACAAATACGAAGAAAGTGAAACAGCCTTATTGCTGATATGGATAAAAAGTTTTAGTGGTTTGAAGAGAAGATCAAACCAACTACAACATTCTCTTAAGCCAAAGCCTAATCCAGAGCAAGGCCCTGACTATTCCACCCTACGAAGGCTCAGAGAGGTGAGGAAGCTGCAAAATAAAAGCTGGAAGCTAGCAGAGGTTAGTTCATGAGGTTGAAGGAAAAAAGCCATCTCCACAGCATAGAAGTGCAAGATGAAGCAGCAAGTGCTGGTGGAGAATCTGCAGCAAGTTATCTAGAAGATCTAGCTAAGATCACTGATGAAGGTGGCTACACTAAACAACACGTTTTCAATGAAGAAATCACCTTCTATTGGAAGATGCCATCTAGGACTTCCATAGCTACAGAGGTAAAGTCAAAGCCTGGCTTCAAAGCTTCAGAAGACAGGCTAACTCTCATTAGGGGCCAATGCAGCTGGTGATTTTTTTTTTTTTTTTTTTTTTTTTTTTGAGACGGAGTCTTGCTCTGTTGCCCAGGCTGGAGTGCAGTGGCGCAATCTCGGCTCACTGCAAGCTCCGCCTCCCAGGTTCACATCATTCTCCTGCCTCAGCCTCCTGAGTAGCTGGGACTACAGGCGCACACCACCATGCCTGGCTAGTTTTTTTTGTATTTTTAGTAGAGACGGGGTTTCACCATGTTAGCCAGGATGGTCTTGATCTCCTGACCTCGTGATCCACCAGCCTCTGCCTCCCAAAGTGCTGGGATTACAGGCGTGAGCCACTGTGCCTGGCCTTGCAGCTGGTGATTTTAAGTTGAAGCCAATGCTCATTTCCCATTCTGAAAATCCTAGGGCCCTTAAGAATGATGCTAAATCCACTCACCTGTGGTCTAGACATGGAACGACAAAGCCTGGGTGACAATGCATCTCTTTGCTTCATGGTTTACTGAATATTTTAAGCCCACTGATGAGACCTACTGCTCAGAACTAAAAGATTTCTTTCCAAATATGACTGCGTATTGACAATGCACCTATCACCCAAGAGCTCTGATGGAGATGTACAAGGCGATTGATGTTGTTTTCCTGCCTGTGAACACAACATCCATTCTGCAGCCTATGGACCAAGGAGTCATTTTGATTTTCAAGTCTTATTATTGAAGAAATACACTTTGTAAGAGGGTAGCTACCATAGATAGTTGTTTCTCTGATGTATCTGGGCAAAGTACATTGAAAGCCTTCTGGAAAGGATTCACCATGCTAGATGCCATTAGCAACATTCATGACTCATGGGAAGGAGGGCAAAATAGCAACATGAACAGCAGTTTGGAAGAAGTTGATTCCAACCCTCACAGATGACTTTGAGGGGCTCAAGACTTTGGTGGAGGAAGTAACTGCAGATGTGGTAGAAATAGCAGAAGAACTAGAATTAGAAGTGGAGCCGGAAGACTGAATTGCTGCAATCTCATGATCAGACTTGAACAGATGAAGAGCTGCTTCTTATGGATGAGCTAAGAAAGTGGTTTCTGAGATAGAATCTACTCCTGGTGAAGATGCTGTGGAAATGACATCAAAGGATTTAGAATACTCCATAAACTTATTGATAAAGCAGTGGCAGGGTTTGAGAGAATTGACTCCAAATATGAAAGAAGTTCTACTGTGGGCAAAATGCTATCAACCAGCATCACATGGTACAGAGAAATCTTTCGGGAAAGGAAGAGTCCATTGATGCTACAAACATCATCGTCTTATTTTTAAGAACTTGCCAGACACCTGAACCTTCAACAGCCACCACCCTGATCAGTCAGCAGTCCTCACCACCCACCAGCAAGAGGGTTCCAACTTGCTGAAGGCTCAGATGATCATTAGCATTTTTTAGAACTGAAGCATTTTTAAATTAAAGTAGGTTTTAAATTTTTAAGGTTCTTTGAAAAGACATAATGCTATTGCCTACTGAATAGACCACAGTATAGTATAAACAGAACTCTTATGTGCACTGGGAAACACGGAGGCACATGTGACTGCTCTATTGTGGTGTCCTGGAACCGAATCTGTAATATCCTGAGATATGCTGGTACCTCAGACTCTACACCCTAATAACAGAAAATATACCTCCTTCTTGAGTGCCAATGGGACATTCACAAAAAGCGTTTAAAAGACTAGTAAATTCCATAAGGTAAAAACTTTATAGACAACACTTTGCGACCACAGTTCAGTAAAACTAGAAATTATTCACAGAACCACAGGGGTGTTTCCACATGGAAATTAGACATCTTCCTGTAAACAACTCGGGCTCTGGGAGCTTAGGACACCCCTGTTCTGTTGGCTTCTAAGTGTTCAGTGAAATGGGAGCAAGGCCAGCAGCTGGGACCAGGGACCTGTGTGTGTATGGGAGTGACTGTCTCACTACCAGGTGCACCCCAGGCTAGAAGGAGGGTGACAGTGAGGACAGGTAAGGGGGAGTAAGAGGGGCGCAGGGCAGTGCATGGAGGGTCCTGGGGGCAAGGCTTGCTGGGTCTGGAGGCGAGCTGTAAAGGTGGGAGTGCCTGAAGCTGGTGATGGTCACACCAAGGGATGGGCAGGGGAGTGGGTGGCTGTGGGGGATGGAAGACAAGGTCCTTGGGAGAGAGGAGATCCAGGCCTGGAGAAGTCAGGGTGAGGGGAAGACAGGGAAATCCCCCAGGAGTCAGGCATGGGGAGTGAGCTGGGGGTTGTCCCTGACTGGAGCGAGGGGCCATCCAGGACAGGTGCATAGTAGGTAAGTGGCAGGGGGTATGGACTGAGGACTTGGGAGGCAGAGCTGGGACTTTGGGAAGGAAGGGCAGTGAGCAGTGACAAGGACCCTGGCCCATCTCCAGGTACAGGGGTCTGAGGGCTGTGAGAAAAAAGCCAGCCCCACCTGAGAGGGCTTTGATGGCCTCGGGGACATAGCGGGGTGGTCTGTGGAGGGGCAGGAAGGAGAAGAGAGTGTCTGTTGATGAGGAAAGACAGAGGGGTTTGCTGCTGGGCGGCGAGGCTTCGCTGTGGGCTGGGGTCTTGCCAGGAGCACCCAGGGTCCTGCGGCCTCTCCATCAGGTGACAGTGTGGCCCGGCTGGGTCAGGGGTTTCATGTGGAGTCAGGACAGGAGACAGTGAGCAGTGCATCCCCTGTGCCCACCCAGGAGGTGTGCAATGATGAACAGATGTGGGCTCCCTCCAAGCACCCAGCCCTATAGGGATCCCTGTGGGCCAGGATGGGGGCAGACAGGAGGGCAGAGGTCACCACCTCTGCCTGGGGAGAGGACAGGGGGTGGGCAATGAGGGAAGAGGGGCAGGCACCTGTCCAAGGGGATGGAGATGTCCAGGAAGGTGGTCACCAGCTCGCGGGTGTGGCTCCGGGCCAGCAGGGTGATGGCGTGCAGGGTCTTTTCCTTGGCTTGGGGGATGCGGACAGAGCACAGGTGGAGGCAGATGGCCTGGGCCATGCCGGAAACCTGTGCAGAGAGGGAGAGGTCTGACAGGGAGGCCCAGCCCTGCCCTGGGGGCTTGAAGGCAGAGGGAGGTCTCTCCCTGATGAGCCCCTTCAGATATGGCCCTGTCCTGAGCCGGCCCACCCAGATGCTTGGTCTGCAGAGAAGTCCCAGTCTGGGGGAAACAGGTCCTGCCATGTGCTGCATGACATTTGGGGTCTTCATATGCTGTCCATGTTGCCCAGGCAGACATTGGAAGGTCCAGCGCCCCTGCCTCCCATCTCATTCCTAAACATGCCACTTTGCCCATGAGGTGCCCTGTGCCTGGGGCACCCTGCCTTCCCCTTGGGGTCTCTCCTGATCATCCCTAATGCCCAGTGCTAGTCTCCCTATCTGAGCTCGCCCACTTGCAGGACTTGGCACTGGGCATCCTCTCTCTGGGGTGCACCCCTCACCTCCCTGTGGGGTCCTCCTCCCCCAGATCACATCCCCATACGCTGTCTGGGCAACATCTGGCTGTGTGTCCGTCTTCCCTGAGACCTCAAGCTCCTCAAGGGGCTGGTCTGTGCCGTTCCCTTCCTTTCCCACCATTCCCATATTACAGCACACAGCGACTGCTCAGACCCCGCAGTCACCACCCAGGACCCAGGGGACTTGCTTGGGCCATTCATTCATTTGCTCATTCAAAACCATCAGACTAGTTGCTTCCCAGGGTGGGATCTGTGACTCCCCCATCAGGCTCAAGGACCTGAGCCCTGGATGCTGACCGCTGGGCCCTCCCTCCACCCCCTGGCCCTTCCTGGCCCAGCCCCAGCGCCCTCACGATCTTCAGCTTGTCCCCGTGCTCCTGGACGGCTATGAGCAGCATCTCGGAGGCCGCCTGTACACGGAAGGGGCTGGTGGAGCCCAGGCTGTCGATGGTCGTCCAGATGAGGTCATTCAACTCTGCCAGTGTGAGCTGCTGCATGATCTCCTGTACAGCAGGGGTGGAGAGAGGCCATCACCTTGGGCCACCTGGGCCTGGGCACCTGCCTCCCCACTTCAGCTTTTACCCCTTCTCCTTTGTCCCAGGATCTCCCAAGTCTCTGAGCATATCTGGCCTCCTAAGCCCCACTCCTCCAGGTTCCAAGCACCTGCCAGCGATTTGCAGTCTAGACTTGCACACGTCCACATCTGTCAGAGCAAACCATGGCCCAGGCTCTTTTCCACACTCATACTCCATGCTTATCCCAGGACCGGGTGGCCAGGCTTCCCCTCTCCCCTCGTCTGCTGTCCTCTGCCCATAGGGCTTCCTCATCTGCCAGCCTCAGCCCCATGGGGTGCTCCCTGCCAGGCTCCAGTCCTCCTTATGAGCATTTATCAAAGAGAAAGTGAACTTCCGGGCTGTGAAGGAGCTTCGAGTTCACCTGGGCCAACCCTCAGGCCCAGAAGGGTGTGTGGGCTGCCCTCAGCCTTGGAGCAGGTCAGGGTGGGTGCAGCCGGGACCTGGCTCCCGTCCCAGGACAGGCAGCGCTGTCCCAGGACCCTGACACCCTCTCCATCTCCTCCCAGGAGTGGCTCTAAAGGTCCAGGAAGGTGAGTCTCACCTCCGCAAGTAGCCATGAGCTCAGGGGTGAGGAGGGGGCTCTCAAGAAATGCAAGATGGTGGGTGTGACCCCTGCCTCATAGCCTCAGATTACAGCCTCCCGGAGGGGGGACCGGGCCTCAGTCACTGCTGCAAAGGTAGAATTTTCTGGAAAGACTTCAGGCATCGTGCCACTATCTATACACAGCTATTTATATTTCAATTTAAGTAAAATTAAAAATTCAGTCCTGCAGTAGCACTAGCCACATTTCAAGTGCTCCATGGCTCCCTGTGGCCAGTGGCTACCTTGGGTAGCACAGAGATAGAACACACCCATCCTCCCAGAGCGTTCTCTGCACAGTGGGACACACAGCATTGAACCAAAGGAAGTTAGAAGCTGAAGGAGGGATGGGAGAGCAGCCTGACAGAAAATTAGGGTGTCTGCAAGGATGTCAGGATGGCAAAACTCTTCTTTGCATGTTAGGATATTTGTTGGAATGCCTGCAATCTGTTAGGACACTTCTAAGTATATTAGAACATCAAGTTAAGTGTTAAATAATGGATGTTAGAATATTTATTAGAATCTTTTAATTCTAAAATTTTGATACAGTGTTTGTGAGAATGTTAGAGTATTAACACAATGATTAGAACGTTAAAATAATTTTAGTGGAAGATTTGTGGTAAGAACTTTTTACAAGAATATTGTTATTATACATCGGGCTAGAATATTTGTTAGATGATTAAAATCATTTGCTATAATGTTAAACTTTTGGTTAAAGCTAGCATTTAGAATGTTTGTGAAGAAATTCAACTTGGAATGGTGGTTAGATTCTCAGAATACTACAGTCTCAGGATTGGTAAAGACTTTGGAGCCATCTTCCTTCAATCAAGAGCAGCAATAAATGTGAGATAAAGGTGGCAGTGATGGTAGAAGTGGTGGTGGTGGTGATAATGATGGTGGTGCAGGGTCATAGTAATGCAGATGGTGATGGTGGTTGTAGTCATGGTGATGCGGTGGTGGTGGCAACGGTGGTTATGGTGATGATGATGGTGGTGATAATGGTGGTGGTGACTATGATCATGATGGTGGTGATGATGGTGGTGGTGATGATTACAGTGATCATGATGGTGGTGATGCTGTTGGTGGTGATGATGATTGTGGAGGTGGTGATGGTAGTAATGGTGGTGGTGGAGATGGTTGTGGTGATGGTGATGGTGGTGATTATGATGCTGGTGGTGGTGGCTGTGGTGATGGTGGTGGTAGTGATGATGGTGATGGTGATGCTGGTGGTGGCTGTGAAGGTGATAATGGTGGTGATAATGGTGGTGGTGGTGACAGTGACAGTGACCATGATGGTGGTGATAATGCTGGTGGTGATGATGACAGTGGGGGTGGTGATAAAGATATTATGTATCCAAGACCAAATGAGGAGTTAGGGACAAACTTGGGACCAGAACCCAGGCCCAAAGTGTCTGTTCCTCAGCTGGAACCTTTTCAGCCCTGTGGTTCTATGATGGTTCTATGATTAGCAGACCCTCCTATCCTCTCTCTTCTCCTGCTCCTGTCTGTCTGGGGAGAGCCAGAGCTGGACACCCATGGTCTGTGTGCAGGGACCACATGGGGTGAAGCAGCTGTCCCTTCAGTGAAACTCTTCTTTCCCGGCCCTGCCTCTGCTGTCAGGGCAGGTTCTGTAGGGTAAACTGCAGCCAAGTGAGGTATTTCCCTTCTGGACACAGACAGTGAGTTGGCCCTAGGGCTTTAGGTTTTCCACACTAAACTTCTAACTGGCCTCAGCACACCAATGGCTTGCAACAGTTGCTGAGAGCACGGGTTCTGGAGTAGCTGGGGCTGGATCAGATTCCAGTGGGGTACTGACCAGCCTTGTGCCACCATTTCTTTATCATTTGGTTCAGTTCAGTTTATAAAACTTGAGGAAGGGATGTAGTAATGTCTGTGAAGCCCCTGGCATAGGTAATAAGTAGGCATCTAATGTGTGCTGGCCCCCCAAACCTTCCTGGCTCCACCTCAACAACGTGGGAGAGAGCAAGCGAGCACATTTACCCACCACTCCCCACTCCCCAGATATGTGGTGTGCTCTGGTCATGCCCCTGCCCTGCCCTCCACTCTAAGGGCTTTGACCTTGATGACTTGGGAGCTGCCAAGCTGGAAGATGCGGTTCTTCTCCGTCTCCTGGGGGCCCAGGGGAGTGGCCTTCTGGTCTCTGCGGCTCCAGAGTGGGGCTCCGTCTGAATGGGCCTGGGAGAGCTCCGTAGAGCCCTGTGATTCTGCCTGCAAAGCTTCTCCTGCTGGCCAGGGACAGGGTGGGGTGAAGGCAGGGTGAAGGTGGGCTTGGGGTCTAGTCTGGAACAGGGCAGGGTTAGGGTAGGGTCATTTGTAATCAGGGTCAGGCTTGTGCCCAGTTTGGGGACTGGGATCAGAGTGGTGGGGGTCAGGGTGAGGCCATTACAGGGTTATGGTTCAGATCAGGGTTGGGTTTGGGGGCAAATTTGGGGCAAGGTTGAGGTCAGGGGTGAGGGTGTGGGTCTGCCAGAGGTTGCAGTTGGGGTGGAAGTTGGTGCACCACAGAACTCACCTTTGTGGCACATCAAGAGCTGGTAGAGATGGCTCGCCCCTTCCAGGCTGCAGCGCTGGATGGCCCTGTCTGGGTCCTGGCACAGCATCCCCAGTATGCCCACCAGTTGCCCAATCCTTTTGAAGTTCTCCTTTGGCTGTGTTGAGAGTATGGGAATCACTGATGGCAGAACCTCCCTGCAGAGCCCTGCCACACACTCACACAGCATGGCCGACATCAGAGGTGACCCCTCCAATGGTGTGGCAGGGCCAGGACTGGGGGCTAGGCAAAACATTCAGTAATCAAGAGAAGTAATATTTTAATGCAATATTTAGAAAAATCAGAATAAATGCAAAAAACTCTGTGATGAGCAAAATCTCAAAACTGCAAGTAAAGTCAGGATCTGACCCTGCTTTTGCATGTCACCTCGGCTGTCCTACTCTCATCCTGGTCCTGGTTTAATAAAACTTTATTTACAAAAGCAGGTGGTCAGCCCATGGGCCATAGCTTGCCAAATTGAGTTTTAAAAACATCACATGAAAATATGAATCATCTTGATTACAGAGTTTTTTGTTTCTGAGGTAAAGTTTGTGCGCAAGGTGAGTACCTTGCTTGCCTTACCCTGGTCCAGTCCTGTGATGTTGAAATGAATTTTGAGTAAATTGAAGCCACTTTAATTGTCCTCCTCCTCCTAGGGGTGCAGCGTCTTTCCCTTGACAGAACAGTCCCCCTCCCTCCAGCATTTCTGCCCGCTGTCCTCATTAGACCAGGCAGCCACCAGGCATTAGAGCAAGGAACGAATTTCCCCATCCCCCTGAGTCTGCTTAGGGAGTTAACATGGGTTTGGGCTCATACTCGCGGAAGTGCACTCTCTGACCATGTGCTGATGCAACCCAAGGGCAGATGAGCCATGTCATGATGGGGGCTGCACTGGCGGAGGGGTGGTGGGGTGGCCACTCCACACAGCAAGGAACCCCTAATCAGGTGCAGGGTCGTACAATTTACCAGCCTTCTCACACCTGCATCCCATCAGAGCCCCACCATATCCCTCTAGGGAGGGGTCATTTCCATTCACTTTACAGGTGAGAAGCTGGGGCTCGTGGAGGAGAAACACCTGTACAAGGCCTTAGGTGCATAGACAAGTGCCTAGCTCCAGGGTCAGGGGTCAGGGGTCAGGGTGACCTGCCTTCAGATCCCAGCTGTGAGGCCTCGGGCAGGTCCTGCCCCTCCCTGCCTGTTCCCTCACTTGCAAGGAGGGAGATGGCCTGGGCCGCCTGTCACTACGGAGCCCGGCCGTGCTGTGGGGTACTCAGGGATCCATTCTGTCCTGGAGGCAGGAGTACAGGGGGCCTTGAACCCTACGAACCTTGGCAGGATCTGGGAGGAGGGCGGCTCTGGCTGGGCCCCTGCCATCCAGGGCAGGAGGCCCAGCCGTAAAAGCCGGCTCGGAGCATGGGACTGGTGAACCGCATACTCACGTCCAAGTTGCCTTTGTGATTCAGGAATTTGAGGAGGATCATGCAGCTGTGCACAGCCCGCTGCCGCTCATGCGCCTTCTCCGACGCTAGCCAGATGTACAGGTGCTGCGGGGTGGGCAGGGTCAGGGAGAGGGTGCTGCGGGGCCCTCGGCCCAGGCCCCGGCCACCACCCGCCCAGACCCCGCCCACTCGGCCAGGCCCCCGCCCACCACTGGACCAGACCCCCCGCCCACTCGGTGCAGGCCCCGCCCACCCCGGCTCTGCCCCCTCCCTAAGGCACCATCCCTCCTTGGCCAGGCTCTGCCTGCTGAGCTTACAAAGGCATCTGAAGACAGGTACGTTAAATAGTTTTTAAGCCGAATCTGAGCTCTTTATTAAGGTGATATATGATTAGATGTATAATTCGTGACTCTGAAGTAGGATGAGGGTACATGGTATTTGGAGATTTCGTGACCCAGTGGTGTCCCAGAAACACATCTGTGACTTCCCCAAGACGCGCTGGGCTCCTCTGCACTGCTTACCTTTGCCCTGCGTGCCCTCTGACTGCTGGGCCCCTCCCTTCCCTTCTCTGCCCATAGCTGTCTTAGTCCTCAGCCAGGGCTGCCAGAAGTCCCGTTGGACTTGACCTCTGAGGCAGAGCCAGCCTCCCCTCCCTGGGCCTCCGTCTGCCCCAGGACTGTCATTGCCTGCTCTGGTCTCCCTCCTGACAAGGTGAGGGAGGGCAGGTGGGAGTGGGGGCAGCGGGTTTGGGAGACCCTTCAGGGGACACTGCAGGGGAAGTTCTCTAGGAGGGAGGGCAGAACCCTCATCAGCCCTCTTTCTTTCTTTCTTTCTTTCTTTTTTTTTTGAGGCAGACTTTCTCTCTTTTGCCCAGGCTGGAGTGAAGTGGTGAAATCTTGGCTCACTGCAACCTCCGTTCCCCAGGTTCAAGCAATTCTACTGCCTCAGCCTCCCGAGTAGCTGGGATTATGGGCCCCCACGACCATGCCCGGCTAATTTTTTTTTTTTTTGTATTTTTAGTAGAGTCGGGGTTTCGCCATGTTGCCCAGGCTGGTCTCGAATTCCTGACCTCAAGTGGTCCACCCGCCTTGGCCTCCCAAAGTGCTGGGATTACAGGCGTGAGCCACCGCGCCTGGCCCATCAGCCCTCTTTCTACCAGGCCACCTGCTGTCTCTCCCTCCCCAGTGCCCCAAATCACTGTGATGCCTAAGTGGGGGTGGCCTTCACCCCTCCTGGTTCCTGTACCACTCAAAGCCCCCAGGTCCCGCCCTGCCTCCTCTGGGATGCCCTCCTTTGGGGTCTGGCCATAGGCTGAGGACCCCTCGGCCCCAGCCGACTGGCCTCCCCGCAGCCTCACCGACAGCAGGAAATGCAGCTCGTCGGTGGTGGGGTTCTGCATGATGAGGCTTTGCAGCATGAGGTCCAGTGCCTCCATGGTCCTGCTGTACAGGTTCTGTGTAGAGACGAGGGTGGTCAGGCAGTGCCACGACCAGGTGGACACAGGGCCTGAGGGGCGCCCACTTCCTGCACGTGCTGGGCTGCTCACCACTGGGGCTCGCCACCATGCCTGCGAGGGGGCTGCCACGACCCCCATTTGGCAGCTGTGGGGACTAGGTGGGGAGGCCTTTGGTGATCACCCAAGGGCACAGGTGTCTTAGTGGCCCAGGCAAGTTCATTCCTAGCAGGGCTAGCTTCACAGGAGGGTACCCTTAGTGGTCCCAGGGTCCCAGGCTGAAAAGGGCCCTGTGCTGGGTGAATGCGCTGGAGGTTCTTAGGTTTGAAGCAGGGGCTGGCATCTTCATTTTGCCCAGGCCTTGCCAATGACACAGTGGGCTGAGTCCCGGGTCTTACATGCCGTGTTTCCAATCTTTACTGCTTTGCTTGCTAGGCATGTTCAGGAAGCGCGAGGACCAGAGAAATGCCCCCAGCTACCCTCCCCTCCAGGGCCCGCCAGGAGCAGAGCCCTGGGGCTCTGGTCACTCACTTACTAGTTACCCTGGGGAGACTTGGTTTGCCTCTCTGAGCTTACTTTCCTCACCTGAGAATGGCATGAAGCCAGCCCCACCTGCCAGAGTGGAGGTAGGCAGGGGATTGGAGTCAACAGGAACCTCAGTTCAGTACTTCCAGCTCCCAGTGCTAGACCCCCAGACCCCACGTGGCACTCCCTGGATGAGCCAGCCTCAGTGTCACTGTGTCATCATGTAACAGGGTCACTGAACTGTGGTGGGATTGGGGTGTGGCCAGTTGGGGGCTGTGTTGCTCTGGGCCCAGGACACCCTCGTTCTCTCACACCCCACCCTAGTGTGTGTCTGTCTAGTTCCAGCCTGGACTCAGCCTCGGGGGGCAGGTCGGGGTTCAAACCTTGCCTTTCCCACCAGACAGCCTCATTTCTCTGAGCATTTCTTTACTCTGGGGCCGCTGCTGGGAAGGTGATATAACTGGTCTAGGGCCTGGCACCTAGCAGGGGCTCAGTTAACACTGGCTTTGGCTACAGGCCGAGGACTGCAGACACTCAAGAAGTCAGGTGCGGTGACTGTGCCCAGGAGCCACACGTGTACCCGGTGGTGGCCATGAGCAATGGCAGGCATCTCTTTGTAGGGGCGGCTTTTACTGAACAGAACCCAGGAAGGGGTGGGCACTGGCCAAGTGCTGAGAGCAATCCTGGAGTTCCTTCCTCCAGCCTCCTGGGGTGGCAGGGTGGGCTGGGCATGGCACCACCTCCGAGTAGCTGTGTGGTGAGACTACGCCCACCCTGCAGGGAAGGTGACTCATTCCAGGTGTTGCAGGGACCACTACAAGGTCGGGGAACTCCTCCCTTCCTCTCCACTTCCCTTGGGCTGCTGGGGAGCTTGGCGAAAACTCAGACCTGACCCTGCCACATAGCATGGTGGCCAAGGCCTGCAGGGCTGGGCAACACGGGCTTGCCAGTTTCTTTCCGCTGGCTCTCAGGGCCGGCAGGGAGGGAGGGAGGCCACATGTGCCACTCTTTACAGGGTGCTCCTCCGCGCCACTGGTCACCCGGTGTCTCAGTTTAGTTGCCAAGTGTTAAGTACCATCGCCCTGTTAGTATCACCCCCATTTTACAGGTGGGCAAACACACCGCGGCATATAGCACGCAGCAAACCTGCAGGAGCTCAGAGCAGTGAAGAACTGCCCCGGGTCCCCAGCCCTGGTGCATCCAGCCTGCCCACTCCCGAGCCATGGGCCACACCTGGATGTTGGGAGGCTCCAGAAAGAGGCAGGTGTGCTTCTCCAGGGCATCCAGCAGCGGCAGGGCGAACACGCTGCGGAAGCAGGTGGACAGGAGCTGAGATTTCCTTTCCAAATCTATAGGAGGCCTCAGCTTGCTGTTGGGAAGACAGAGGGCCATTAGCATGGAGCTGGGACCTGGGGAGGTTGCTGAGTGGCATCTGCCTTCATCCCTGCAGACTCCTGGCCTTTTGTGTTCATAGAGACTCTTGTGCACACATTTGCCTCCCTGGCCCACCTGCCTCTGCAGGGCCTTAAGCTGGGGCATCCTGGCCAGGTGATGTCCTGGTCCATCTCTCTTCTCAGTCCCTGACTTTAAATGCCATCCTGATGCTGTCTAAGGAGCATCTCCATCTTGACGCATTCCCCCAGGGTAGCTGCACCCACAGCCTGCCCCATCACAGTGGAATGCAGTGCCATCCTCCTTGTTGCTTGGACCAAACTTCAGCACATTCTCCATTCTTTTCCCTCCCTTGAAAGCTGCATGCAGCCCTCCAGCAGCTCCTGACAGCTCTACCATCACAATTTGACATTTAAAGACTTCTTACTTTTAATCAGGCCACTGTTACTTTTCTCCTGGATTGTTCTAGGGGGTCCTGACTGGTCCCCCATTTTCTCTGGGGAGCTCCATCTACTCCCCACACTGGATCCAGACATTCCTTCTCAAATGTGACTCCCCCAAGGCCCCACCTCGCTCAGGCAAGAGCCAGTGACCTGCAGTAGCCTGGATGACCTTCCCCGTGGCTCCCGGGGCCCTCATGCATTCCAGCCCTGCCACCCTGGCCCACTGGGGGTCCTCCAGCAACCCTGCTGTACACCAGCCTCAAGGCCTTTGCACCTGCTTTCCCTTCAGCCAGGCACTGCAGCGCTACTCTCACCCTTTCAGGTCTTTGCCCAAAAGTCCCCTTTTAGGGTGTCTATCCCAGCCTCAGGCTGTATTCTGGAGCCTAGAAGAGCATGGGGCTGGTGCTGGGCGCCCAGTCCACCAATATTCGGTTAATCAATTCTCCTTGCAGAGTTTCCTGTAGCCCTCAACCCGTGAGGATCTTACCTCCCCTCCAGCTCGCTCCCCCAGCTCCATCTGCTTTCAGTCAGCAGTGTCAGTGTCGCTGAGGTGTGTGGTTTATTCATGGTCTGTCCCCACCCCCCAAGTGTCAGTTCTTAGAGAACAGGGATGTTCCCTGCTGACCCACAGCTGGGTCCTCAGACCCCAGAATGGTGCCTGGCACACAGAATGATGCTCCATTTCTGACCTCTCCACCTCGCTGCCTGCCAGCTCCAAACGCAAGTGGAGAGGCTGCTGCATGGCGCTGAGGAAGCCCTGTGTGAGGCGGGGGGCCTACCAGAGGCTGGACGCGATGTGCATGGTCTGCTGGCGACTCCGCGTGTACAGAGTGTCCTGGGGCTCCTTCTCCATCAAAACCTGCAAGTCGCAGGTGGCACCAAGCCACTCAGGCCTGGTCTGTCTCACTTCCAAGTGAAACCACCTAGAAACCCACCCCACCCCTTCTGCAAGGGGTAAACTGAGAGAGGCTGCCCGCCTCGCCCAGGGCCTGGAACGCACCATCAGACACTCAAGGAGCTCGGAGGTCTGGGAGAACTCGTAGCTGTGGGCGCCCTCATTCCGGCTCACCGCACCCATCAGCATCAGGGTGGCCATGAGGAAGCTCTGCTTCAGGGTCTCATCCTGGAATGGGGGACAGGGTCAGGGCCCGGGACGTGGGAGCGTGCAGTGGGAGCAGGAGCGTGAGGCTGTGATCCGAGGGGCCACAGAGACCACCCACTGGGGCCGCATCTGGGGGGCTTCGTAAGGGGTGGGGCTGCATGGTTTTTTTTTAAAACTGTAAATTGACAATGTTTAAACACTGGGAGAGTGCCTGTAAGTCTCTTGAGATGTGGCAACCCCATGCCCCAGGGCCACAGCAGCGGCGACCCGGGGCAGCGATGTGGCTACTTTGGGGTGGGGGCAGCCCTGGCGGGGCCTCTCACAGTGACCTGGGTTGGAGCCCCCTGGTGTGGGGTGTGGAGTCAGGGGCTTGTCATCAAGGCATGATGGACGTCAGCCTGGCCTCTCCACACCCATGTCCCTCACCCCCAAAGTGAAAACCCAGGGTTTGCTTTAAGAGCAGAAGTGAGGGTAGAGGCACCATGAAGCCCAGAGAAGTTTCGGTGGGACGGACAGACGAAACCGTGGGGCCACCAGGAAGCTCGGCCTGGTTCCTCATGATTCCAGGGTGGGGTGGCGGTGGGCTCCAAGGCCCTGGGAGGTCCTGGAATTCTCCGCTCTCAGAGGCCGGCAGGGCGGCTGGGCTGGGATCCAGGACTCGGTCTTGGTGGGGACGGGTAGGTGTTGGGATCTTGCCGGGGCATCCAGGGGCGTACCCATGAGCTGTAGTGGAAGTAGAAGACCATCCTGGACACGATGTTGTCCACCCACGGGAGGATGTGGGCCCGGGCTTTGGCCGCCATCTGGCCGTATGCCAGGAGGATGGTGCTGCTGGCCCATTTCCAGCGCAGGTCCTCCGAGTTCTGGCCGAGGGGTGGCAGGTAGGTGAGGAGTGTCAGCACCCCGCCCTACCCTCCTCCGGAGAGCTGTGGAGGTGGTTGCCCAGCTCTAGCAGGGTCCTGAGGGCAGGCGTCTGTCCTGAGGGGCGGTGGGCCTCCATGGCCCTCAGTCGGAAAACAGGGGGACTGGGACTGGCTCTTTGGGGGATGGCTCAGGCCTTGTTAGGGCCACGGTTTGGGCGGGGTGTTAGGGTGGGGTGCGCGGGGCGCTCGGCTCTGCTGGAGCTGGCTGGAGTCCAGGCCCCTTGCCTTCCCCTCCTTGTGGTGGACCCCCACGCCCACCTCCTCCCCTCCTGCTGAACGGGGCAGTGTCCTGGGAGTCCCCAGAGGCTGGCCTTCATGGAGGGTGGGGGTCCTGCCGTCCCAGCCCCTTGCTGATCTCTGGGGACCCCTGAGCCAGTACCTTTGGGGAGGAGCTGTGGAGGCTCCATCTGATGGGCCTGCTCCGGCCAAACTGGTCCAGGACAGCCCAGACGTCATCCAGGTGGCGGGTGGCCGCCAGCCCCAAGGTCAGAGCCATGCCCTGTAAGTCGGGGTCAGGGTCACTCATCAGGGGACCCCAAAGTCCAGGAACAGACCCGGCTCCTCCCCTAGCAGGAGTGAAAACTGAGGGGGAATGGGACCCCCAGAGGGGGTTGGGGCTCATCCAGGGCCCCAGGGCAGCCAGCACCCACCCCACTCTGTCAGGACCTGTGACCGAGCCCATGCCAGGGGACACACGGCTTATGGGGTCTGGTAGGGGGAGTGAGGGGCGCGGGGGGCAGAGGTGGATCCCTGGAGGCCCATTATCCCTCACTGCCGGCTATGAGCAGGCTGTGCCGGAGTGGGAATGAGGAGATGTGTTTACGATGGAGGAGGAGGGCTACGCTGCGGCTGAGATCACGACTGTAACTGGGGTCAGGGTTAGCCTGTGATCAGCATCAAGGCTCAGCCATAGACCAAGGTCAGAACTTAGTTTGTGACCAGGGTCAGGGGTTGAAGTGAGAACGGGGAGAAGGCTCAAGCTGTGATCAGGATTAGGGCGTAGTGTGAGACCAGCCATCAGGCTCAGCCTGTGGTCAGGGTCAGGCGGTGGTGGGGGCAGGGTGGGGCCTGGGCCCTTACCTCCCTCTGCTTGGGCCACTGGTGGGATGTTTCCAGGAGGGCTTGCAGGTGTCTCCTGACTGTGGCACTGTTTTTTTCAGCTTGAAGGATTAGCCCGTAGTAGGTGAACAGGAAGGCCTGCGGGAAGGGCAGCATCTTATCCGGTGCTTGACCCCCCGATGGCCTGCCACCTCCTCTGAGCAGCTGCCCTTGACCACACTTGCTTGGCCTCCCCGGGCCCCTGCAGCCACTGCGACACCAGCTGTGGACTGTCCAAGCCTCTGCCTGTGGCTGCAGCAGGTGCAGCTCAAGTCCTGCTGTCCAGGCCCCACCCCTGCCTCAAGTCCACCAACTTCTTGCTAGGGCCCTGGGTGTCCTATGGATAGAGCCCCTGGGGCTGTGTAGGGGGCAGGCAGGGGCTGCTCCTGGAGGCAGGGTAGGGCTCACCTTCTCAGGGGACTGCTCCTGTTGGGTCCGGCTGGGCGTGGTGAGTGTCCACAGCAGCTCCTTGGACCACACATCCATGCTCAGGAACGGGACTGACTTGATGGCCATCTGTCAGCAGAGGGGCATGGGGGCTGGAGCCGTCTCTCTCTCTACCTGAGAGCAGGGCCCGGGATTCTAGCTGCCCCTGCCCACCCTGGCCACCCTGAACCCTGAATCCATCACCCCCTTGTCCCTCCCCTCTTTTGAGTCCCCAGCGCCAGCTCTCTTCTTTGTTCTACAACTCTGAGGGACAGGGAACTCATTCCTGAAGATTCTTTCTGCAGAGGGGTTCAAGGTGAGGCTGGAAAACCAGGAGACTGGAGAGTGGAGTCCTGACTGTGTCCCGGGCACCACCCAGGAGTCTCTGACAGAGCAGATGATTAGTGAGAGCCAGTGGAAGGTGGCCCCTCTGCGGTGGGTGCTGGGAGGGCAGGGCCTCGTCTGGTAATTCACAGCTGCACCAGCACCCTGTGTGGTACCCGGCACACAGCAGATAGGCCATTAATTTTATAAATCAATGAAGGAGAAATCAGATCAATGAATGAACTGTCCCTTCAAAATACAAGGTCCTGAAAGTTCCGTTCCTACCATCACGTGATTTTATAATGATGACTACAATATTTCTCAATTTCAAGTGTTCCCAGATTCTGTGATTCAACATTTCCAAGATTTTTGATCCAAAGAGTCTTTGGGGTTGGATGATAACCTCCAAAATTATGATCCCAAACCCAAAAACCTTAAAAGCCATAAATTTGATAAATGTGAAGGTAAACATTTTAAAAAACCAGTTCAGCAACATTACTATAAATTAAGTTGGAAGATGAGGCAAAATTTTGTTTTGATCTTTGTTGCCGCCTATTGCCAAGGGTTAACATCAGGGATCAACGACCTGCACTTTATAAATCAATAAGAAGATGACAAACAAGACATTGTAAAATGATGAAGGGATACATAAATGATGAAGACACTGTAATCTCAACCTCCTTAAGACTTCAGGAATGAAAACTAATGTAACGTTTTGACTAAGATTGGCAAACAGTCAAACACTGACTATCAGCAAGGAAGTGTCCTTTGGTGGGAGGGTGGTTGGATCTGCATTTTTGGAAGGTTTTTTCAATCTCAATTAAAAGGCAATGTCAATATCAAAGTTTAGAATATGGACAATTTCCCTAAGCAACCCCATTTCTAGAAGTTTATCCTGAAGGAATACTAAGTATGTGATGCTGTGAGCACGAGGGGACATCTGGTGGGGCAGAAGACGTAGGCAGGACCGTTTGCATCCTCCTTGGGGTTGATCCCTTGGTTCCTGGAATGGAAATGCTCCCCCACTTATGGCAGAAGCTGGATGAGCTTGTCTGCCCGGGGTAGACCTCCTCCTGGCCATCTGTAAAGCACTAGGGTGCAGTAGGACCTGCGGGGCTCTCTCACCCTCAAGACAGGTGTCGGCAGAATCTCTATGAAACCTCAGCCCCCTGGGAGGTCCTGAGGTCGTCCCCCAGAAGGTCCCCTCCCCCAGACCTTTACTGTCTTTGTTCACTGTTGCATGTAACAATGCCACAGTTCCTTGTCTAAAATTCAAATTCCCAAGCTCAGAAAATTAAACATTTTTCCCCCTTAGCTTTGCAGCAACCTCATTGGATAGCAGACACTGAGCCACACTGACGTGATGCAATTTGTGGGACCTGGTGTGACTATTTGCTTCTGTAGCAGGGATCCTAATCTATTTCATTCTGCATCTGCCCAGACCCTGTTAAGGATGTTCTTGGAATATGCAGCGTGTATATCATATTACTTTTTAAAAAATCTAAAATATTCTGAATTTTGAAGCCCATCTCTTCCCCAAATTTTTAATTTTTAAAGTTTCAAGTATTTAAAAAATTGAGGTATTTTAACTCACAATGAAGTGCACAGATCTTTCCTGTAGAGTTCATGAATCCAGCCCACGTAATTCACATCCTTTCAGGATATAGAACATTTGCCACCACCCCAAAAAGCTCTGTCATGCCCCTTCCTGGTTAAGCTCTATCACTACAAAACTGTTCTGATTTCCCTGCGGATTAGTTTGGACTTTTCTAGAATTGCATGTAATTGGAAGCATGCAGTCTGTGATCTTCTGTGTCTGGAACTTTTTCACTCAGCATGTTTTTGAGATTCATCCATGTCATTGCATGTACCGCAAGTTCATTCCTCTTTTTCTATTTTAACTTTTATTATTTCATTTTCTTTGTTTGGTTCAGGTTTAACTTGATCCTTCTCTAGTTTCCTGAGATGGACACTGAGATGATTGACTTTAGATCTTTTGGGAGAGTGTGCAGAATTCTGCCTGTCTGGGTTGCTTCCAGCTTGAGGCTAGAATGGGTAAGGCTGCTATGGCCATTTTTGTAGAAGTAATTTTGCGTATGGATGTTTTCACATCCCTTGAGTAAAATACCGAAAAGTGGGATTGCTGAGTCATCTGTTAACTTCAAAAGAAAATGTCAGTTTTTCCAAAGAGGTTGCGCCATTTTCCCATCCCGTCCTCAATGTTCCGCTTGCTCCACGTCCTTGCCAGTGCCTGTTGTGGTCCTTTCATCAGATGTGGTCCTTTCAGATGTGGTCACCTGCATCCCCTCGGCGCAGATGCGGAGGCGGCGCCTTGTGGTTTTAACTGAGTCTTCCCTGAGGACTAACGTTGCTGATCGTTTTTTCACTTCCTTATTGGTCATTGAGATGTCTTCCTTCCTGAAGTGTGTTGTGGCCTTTTCGCTCATTTAAACAATTGACCTCTTTGTCTTTTGCTTACTGAGTTATAGAAGTTCTTTCTTTCTTCTGGATACAGTCTCTTTTCCGATACACAAATTGTGAATAGTTTCTCCATGTCTGTGGCTTGCCTTTTCATTTTATTAGTGATATCAGTTGATGAAACATTTTAATTTTGATGAAATCTAACATCATTTTTCTTCTCTTTATGATGATTACTTTCTGAGCCCTAAGAAACATCTAGCTACCCTAAGGCTGGCAAGATTTTCTCCCGTTTTCTTTTAGATACTTTTGAGTTTTACCTTTTACATTTTAGGCCTTGGCTCCATCTCTAATTAATATTTGTGAATGGTTTGAACTAGGCACTAAAGTTCACTTTTTTGCTTACATATATGAAATTGCTTCAGAACTATTTTTTCAAGACTTTCCCCTTTGAACTGCTTTGACACTTTTTTTTTTTTTTTTTTAAAAAAACCTGTTTACATATGGTTTGATATTGGATTTTCTATTCTGTTCAATTGATTTATTTGTTTAATCTATGCCGATGCCTCATTTCTTGTTTGCTGTAGCCCTGTAGTAAGTCTTGAAATCAAGTAGCAGATTTCTTGCAATTTTATTCTTTTTCATAATTGTTTTGGCTATTCTAGGTTCTTTAAAATTTCTTTATAAAAATGTATTCTATAGCTTATATTTAATACTACAACACAATTTTCTGAGACTGATTGGCATTGCATTCAATCTACAAATCAATTTTGGGAGAATTGACATCTTACTATTATTGAATAATTTTGTCCACAAACACCATATGTCTCCATTTCTTAAGGGTTGTTTTAATTTCTTTTTGAATGCTTTGTAACAATATTGCATAGATTTTGTTGCATTTATCTTTGAGTCTTTTATATCTTTAATGCTGCTGAAAATGTAATTTTTTAGAAAAATTTTATTTTCTAATTGTTTGTCACCAATATATAGAAGTTCAATTGATTTTTGTATATTGATCTTGTATCCTGAGATCTTGCTAAATCCAAGTATTAGTAATTATTAGTTCTAGTATTTTAAACATGATTCTGTAAGGTTTTCTAGGTATAAAGTCACATTGTCTACAAAAGAGATAGTTTTACTTTTTCAATTGCAATCTCTATGTCTTTTTTCCCTTCTCCATTTTCTTACCTTATTGCATTGGCTAGCAACTTCAGTGTAATGTCGAGTGGAAGTGGAGAGAAAAGATACCTTTGCTTTATTCCTGATCTTAGTGGAAAAGTGTTCGGTCTTTGATCATTAAGTGTGTTAACTGTAGCTTTAGATGTCCATTGTCACATTGAGGTAGTTTCCCTCTACTCCTAGTTTGTTGAGAGCTTTTATCATGAACAGATATTGAATTCTGTCAGATGCTTTTTCCACATCATGTTTTATAAATATGATTGAACTTTTTCTACTTTATTCTGTTACTGTGTTGAATTGCACTTGTTGCTTTTCAAATGTTAAATTGGCCTTGTGCCCCTGGGATAAACCCTCCTGATCATGGTGTATTATCCTTTTATTCAATTTGTTAATATTTTGTTAGATTTTTGAGTCTATTTTCAGGCAGGCATGGTGGCTCTCGCCTGTAATCCCAGCACTTTGGGAGGCTGAGGCGGGCAGATCATGAGGTCAAGAGATTGAGATCATCCTGGCCAACATAGTGAAACCCCGTTTCTACTAAAAAAAAAAATACAAAAATTAGCTGGGCGTGGTGGTGTGTGCCTGTAGTCCTAGCTACTTGGGAGGGTGAAGCAGGGGAATTGCTTGAACCCAGGAGGCGGAGGTTGCAGTGAGCTGAGATTGTGCCACTGCAGCCTGGCACGTGCCTCCAGCAATAGAGCGAGACTGTCTCAAAAAAAAAAAAAAGATTTTTGAGTCTATTTTCATAAAATATATTGGTCTTTAGTTTTCTTTCTTTTTTTGTAATGTATTTGGGTTGTGTAGCCCTCATAAAATAATTTAGGAAGTTATTCCTTCCTCCTCTATTTTCTTGATAAAATTGTGTAGAATTAGTACTATTTCTTTTCTAACTTTTTGATAGAATTCACAGATAGAAGTGTCTGGGCTTGAAGTTTTCTTAGTGAGAATGTTTTAAATTATGATTTCAATTTCTTTAATAGATATAGGACTATTCATTTTTGGTTTCTTCTCATTTCAACTTGGTAACGTGTTTTTTAGAGAATTTGTCTATTCAATCTAAATTATCTAATTTATTGAATATTTCATTATAATTTTTAAAGTCTGAAGGATTTGTCGTGTTGTTCCTTATTCCTTTCTGAACTTGGTATTTTGTGTTTTCTCTCTTTTTGATCAGTCTAGTGAGGGGTTTATCAATTTATTTATTTATGTATCATTTTTTAAATAGAGATTGGTCTTGCTCTGTTGCCCAGGCTGGAGTGCAGTGGTTTGATCCTAGCTCACTGCAGCCTTGAACTCCTGGGCTCAAGCGACCCTTCTGCCTTTAGCCTCATGAGTAGCTGGACTACAGGTGTAAGCTACTATGCCTGGATAATTTTTAGAAGTTTTTTTTTTTTTTTTTTAATCTCATATTCAACCTCAATATAAGTTTTTTAGAGACAGGGTCTTACTACGTTGTTCAGGTTGGTCTTGAGCTCCTGGCCTCGAGCAGTCCATCAGCCTCCAGAGTAGCTGGCATTACAGGCGTAAGCCATGGCATCTGTCTCAGTGTATTGATCTTTTTGTTCCAGCCATTCTCTGCTGTTTGTCTCTTTTTGTTTCTTTGATTTCTGCTCTAGCTTTTGTTATTCCTTCCTTCTACTTACTCTGAGTTTATTATCTGCTCATTTTTTGGCTAGCTTCTTAAAATGGAGGCTTAGATAATTGATTTTATACCTTTCTTCTTTTCTAATATAGGCATTAAAATATAAATTTCTTTCTAGGTATTGCTTTTTACTGCATCCCACTGATTTTCATCTGATTTTCATATGTTGTGTTTCATTATCATTGGGTTCAAAATAGTTTCTAACTTTCTTTATGATTTCTTCTTTGACTGATGGGTCATTTAGAAATGTGTTGTTTAATTTCCAAGGATTTGAAGTTTCTCCAGATATATTTCATATTGAACTCTAATTTGTATTTTGGTCACAGAATCTACACTGATTATAGCTGTTTTAAATTTGTTGGAACTTGATATATGGCTCGGCATATGGTCTATCATGGTGATTTTTTAAAAAATTTAATATTTTTAATTTTTGTAAGTATATAGTACATATATAAATTTATGGGGTATATGGGATATTTTACTACAGGCATGCAATGTGCAATAATCACATCAGGGTAAATGAGGTATCCGTCACCTCAAGCGTTTATCCTTTGTGTTACAAACAATCCAATTGTACTCTTTTATTTTATTTTATTATTATTTTTTAAGACAGGGTCTCACTCTGTTGCCCAGGCTAGAGTGCAATGGCACAATCTTGGCTCATTGCAACCTCCACCTCCTGGGTCAAGCCGTTCTCTGCCTCAGCTTCTTGAGTAGCTGGGACTACAAGTGCATGTCACCATGCCTGGCTAATTTTTGTATTTTTTAGTAGAGATGGGGTTTCCTCATGTTGGACAGGCTAGCCTTGAACTCCTGACCTCAGGTGATCCACCGGCCTCAGTCTCCCAAAGTGCTGGGATTACAGGCATGAGCCACTGTGCTTGGCCTTCTTTTAGTTACTTTATTTTAAGGTGGAGTCTCACTCTATTGCCCGGGCTGGAGTGCAGTGGCATAATCTTGACTCACTGTAACCTCTACTTCCCGATTTCAAGTGATTCTCCCACATCAGCCTCCCAAGTAGCTGGGATTATAGGCATGTCCCAGAACCCTGGACTAGTTTTTGTATTTTTAGTAGAGATAGGGTTTCGCCGTATTGGCCAGGCTGGTCTCGAACTCCTGACCTCAAGGGATCTGCTCATCTCGGCCTCCCAAAGTGCTGGGATTATAGGGGTGAGCCACCACACCCAGCCTCTTTCAGTTATTTTAAAATCTACAATTAAATAATGAACTATAGTCACGCTTTTGTGCTAGTAAATAGTAGATCTTATTCATTCTTCCTATTTTTTGTACCCATTAACCATCCCCACTTCCCCCCACATCCCCTGGCGAATATTTTGTTTGCACTTTATTAGATGAATTTGGTTAATGTATTGTTCAAGTTTTCTCTATCCTCGGTAATTTTTTGTCTTCTTGTTCTATTAATTGCTTGTGTTGCTGCTGGTGCTACTTCTATTGGATACTGCTCCATTCCAAGTATTCTCCTGCCGCCACCGCTGCTGCTCCTGTCACTACCACTACAACTCTTACCATAGAACAATAATGACATTAGCGAGGGCTTCCTGTGTCACTGGCACGGTGCCCGACACTTTACATGGATTACCTCGTATACTCGTCATACCCACCATTTGAGTGAAGTGCTTGGATTCCCATTTGACAGATGAGGCAAGTAAGGTACTGAGAGGTGAAGTGGGTCCTCCCAGGTCACAGACTGGTGATTGGTTGAATATGGACTTGGATCCAGGGGGCGGGAGTCTCGTGTCCCTACCTTCAGCCATGTCAGCCCCTCACTCACTCAGGTATGTGTTCAGGGATGGGCCTGCACGGACTCTGTTTCTTGGCTGGGGCTCCCTCCGTCCACCCCAACCTGCTTCCTTCCTTCCAGGTCCGCAGCTCTGGCCCAGTGTGTTGGGTATGTGCTCTGAGCCAGGCATGTGGAGACCGAGGTTTGAATCCTGATGCCTCAGTGACTGGCCCAGTGACTGTGGTCCCCTCCCCAATCCCAGTGCCGCAGTGACTGGCCCAGTGACTGTGGTCCCCTCCCCAATCCCAGTGCCACAGTTACCGGCCCTGTGACTGCGGTCCCCTCCCTTTTCCAGACTTGTGTGCTCATCTGCAGAGTAGAGGTCCTCCCTCCCTACCTCCCTGCTCCCTCTTGTTCCCCCATCTTCCTCCCTCCCCTTCCATCCCCATTTCTTGCCTTCCTCTCATTCTTTTTCCCCTCCCTCTCATTCCTCCCTCCTTCCTCCCCCACATGCCATCCTTCCTCCCATCTTCCCTGTCTCCCTACTACCCTCTCTTCCTCCCTTCCCTCCTTTTCTCTGTCCCTTTGCCTTCCCTTCCTCCTCCCTCCTTCCACCTACCCTTCCTCCCAGGCACCCATCCTGCTGCCTCTCCCTTGTTGCCCCCACAGAAGGCCTGGTGACTGGGAGCTGGGCTGCCTCCTTACCTGGATCAGTTGCTCTTCCCAGCAGGCCTTGTCTTCCTGGCTGAAGAGCTCCTCTGTGGGAGGAGGGATGGGTCATAGGACCCTGTCTAACAACCGTCTCCTCCCGCCTTTAGCGCTGGCCTGGGCTGATGCTGCTGGCCTCTGCCCACCCTAGCTCTGTGGGGAGTGGGAGCTGGAGGGACATGAGCCAGGCTTGGCTCTGGGTTCAGAGAGCTGGGGTGGGCTTGCAGCCCTGCTGCCCTTACTGTGTGTCCTCAGGCGGGCTGGGCTCCCTCTCCGGGCCTCGGGCTCACTCATGGTGAATGGAGAGGCACTACCAAGCATGGCCCCTCAAGAGTGGGAAAATAAGTCTTTGGGAGGGAGGCATTGTGAGAGTGTCGAGCTTTTCAGGAACTTTGGAACTTACCCCAGAGGGAGAGGCTGCTTTGGGGAGGGATCTGGTGGCCTCAGCAGTACCCCCAGGGTGCAGAGGGACCTCTACCCAGCCTGCTAATCCTGGCGTGGGGGGTGTAAGACCAAGCCAAGCAGGGTCCTGCTTCACCCCAGGTCTTAGGGTCCAAACACTCCTGCTGGGCCTGGGCCTCCCTGCAGGTCACAGGCCCTGCCACACCCCAACCCCACCCCTCACTGTGGCTGCCAACCAACTCTTCCTGAAGGCCCTTGGCAGAGGGAGCGTCCCTCCTCACCCTCCTACGCATCCATCTAGATGTGGCCTATACTGGCTGCCTCCTCCAGGAAGCCCTCCTTGATGGCCCCAAGGCAGTTGGTCCCTCTCCTCTCTGGGCTCTCCCAGCTGCCCTCAAGGCAGCCCTGCATCTCCCAGTGGGAAGTGCAGCAGCATATGGTTGTAAATGAATGAGTGAATGAATGAAGGCTGGCCCTTGCCTCTGTGTGGCTGGGAGCCTGGCATTAGGTAGGTGCTTAGTCAGTGTTCGCTATTTTGTGTCAGCAACTCCCTGAACACCTTCCTCTGGGGTCCTCAGAGGCCACACTGTCTGGGCCGGCCCTTCCCACAGCTTGGAGGCAGCGGCTGTGGTGGACGCAAGGCCCAGACACTGCAGGCTATGACAGGCTGGGAGTGGCCCTGGCCAGCCATGCCGCCTCTTTGAGCTCCATCTCTTCATCTGCCCGGGGAGGAGGGCCCACCTGCCTTTTGTGACCAAGGGAGGAGACAGATGCAGCAGCTGGTGGTGGAGTTGCTCGGCCATGTGCCAGCCTCACACCTGTCCTGGGCCACCTCCCGGGACCTCCTCTATCATCCTGGCTCCGCCCAGGTCCAGCTGTTGCAATGCTGACAGCAGAAGTGGGTGAGCCATCAGAGGGGCTGACACGGCTGGGCCTGGTGTTGCTCTTTCCAGGGAGGTCTTGAGCATGGCCTGGGCCCTCTGAGGGGTGGTGGGCAATGGGGGTCCTCGGGGCAGCAGCCTGTTGCTGCCAGGCACTAAGTTACCTCACGGTGCACAAGTGACCTGCAGCCCCTGTGCTCTGCCCATGTGGGGTCTCAAAGCCACCTCTTGAATCACTCTCCGTGACCCAACCCACCCTGTCCGCAACCTCGCGCCCGACATACCACTGGAGGACAGGACGCCCATCACATAGAGGAGGCTACGGTGTGGGAAGATGCCCGTCAGGAGCTCCGTCTCCAGATGCTGTGCCACCGCCTGCCACGAGTGCCTGCAGATGGCCACCAGCACGTTGCTGGCCGCGTCCTGGTATGTGTCTTCCAGCTCCTGGGGTGGGGTGGGAGCAGGCAGGGTGGGAGGTAGAGTAAGAGCGGCTTGTTCTGAGACCTCGCTTCTTCACATGCCAGGGCTGGTTTGAGGGGGCAGGACAGCTGCCACAGTCCATGTTTCTTTTTCTTTTTTTTTTTTTTTTGAGACAGAATCTCGCTCTGTCGCCCAGGCTGGAGTGCAGTGGCCGGATCTCGGCTCACTGCAAGTTCCGCCTCCCGGGTTTACACCATTCTCCTGCCTCAGCCTCCCGAGTAGCTGGGACTACAGGTGCCTGCCACCTCGCCCAGCTAGTTTTTTTGTATTTTTTTAGTAGAGATGGGGTTTCACCGTGTTAGCCAGAATGGTCTCGATCTCCTGACCTTGTGATCCGCCCGTCTTGGCCTCTCAAAGTGCTGGGATTACAGGCTTGAGCCACCACGCCCGGCCACACAGCCCATGTTTCTTTTGGTAGAAAACTGAGGCTGAGGGAGCCTGAGGCCTTCCTGGTCTGCGTCCATTTCCAGAGCACCTCCTCCTCTTCCTCCCTGCCTCTGAGCCCTTGCTCACGCGGTGTGCCTGCCTGCGCCTCCACTCCCACCTAGAGCCCGCTCCACCGCCTGGGTTCAGGGCGCTCATCCTGAAACCCAGCCCACATCACCTCTCCTCCTGAGCTCCTGGTGGCTCAGGACGTCACATCCTTTAATTCTTTCACCATGAATTCAGAACCAGACGCTACGTTCCTGTCCGGGAGAGCCAGGGAGTCAGCTGCTCAAGGGCAGAACGATGCTGACTGGGTCCCTGGCCTCCCTGACCCGGGCCCAGCCCCCACTGTCCAGCGGAGGGGTATCTTCAGCAGGAAGGAACCACACGGGTCCCGGAGTCCGGCCCTGTGTGGTCATACCTGGGACCTTTCTCCCTTTACATCTTGCTGCAATTTTGACGTCTACTCTTTTCTCTGTCTTCATAGGAGCCATAAGGCAGCTTCTGTGGCTCTGAGGCAGGTGAACAGGAGGCCTGCCTGCACTTGGGGGCGTCTGAAAGTGGGGGTGTCTGAGCCCCGCCATGCAGCTTGAATCACCGCGTGGAATGGATATATCATTTATAGATCATGGTAAGTATGGTTATGGGGGCTTCTTGTGAAGATGGTGATTGAATCTGATTTTGCTCTTTCTGAAAACCTACCTCAGTTAACACTACATTCAGGAGATTTTTTTAAAAGGGATAATAGTAACCACACTGTGGAAGCCGGAAGCAGGTAGGTGAGAGGACTGAAGACCATGTATAGGCTAGTGGAGCAGAGGCCAAGGCCAGCTCACCCACATGGCACCATCCCCCACTATTTGAAGTTGGGGGGTCTCTTGTCTCCCAGCCTCTGGAACTGGAGTGGCAGTGGAGGGGGCTGAAACTAAAGGTGACATGGTTTTAGAAGTAGTTGAGTCCCTCGATGTACCTCCCACACTCTGCACACACGGGGGGAGCCGGCCCTCTCCCACCCCAGCAAGAGTCTGGGGTCTCAGTCTCTGGAGGGGGCAGATGAGTGTCTCCGTCCAGGGGTTGCCAGGCCCGTAAGCTCCAGGAATACTCACTTCCCAGGCCAGGCCTGGCATGACTGCTGTGGGATGGGACCCTGATCTTTAGGCAGGGCCCCTGGGTGAGCGTCTCCCTGGGAATCCTCAGAGCACAGAAGAGAAGACAGAGGGACACTGACGTAACTGGGTGAGGGTGGCAGCAGTGGGCTCACCTGGTCACTCTACAGTGGAACCAAGGGCTCAGGTAGCCAGATGGAAAGGATACGTGACCTTAAAGCCTGGTGGCTAATTCTGGACCCAGAGCAAATTCCACTCCTGCGGAATGGGCAGGGCAAAGACTCCACCAGCCCGAGCTCCGCAGCAGACATCAGGTCGCATGTGAAGGATCACGGTTCAGAGTGACCCTGGATCCTCGACAGCCATGAAGGCCAGAGGACAATGGACAGCGGTTGCCAACCCACAGTCCAGTGTGAAATCGAATCCAGAGATTTCTGGAAATGCACAGGCTCAGAATCTTACTTCCCTAAAGCCCTTGCCCAAGAAGCCGCCTCCAAGAAGCCTAAGTCTGTGTCTGGTTTAAGAGTAAATCGGGAAAGGGGAGACAGGGTGTAGGGAACACAGTCCCCCCACCGGGGCAGGGCAACAGGAGTGTGGGGCCAGGCTGGTCCCTGCTGACCCCAAGCTCCATGCTGGGCTGGAAGATTGTCTGAGTTTGGCTGGTCCTGACCTAGGTGACAGTGCCTGATGCCCCTCTGTGCCCCAGGTGGTGGGTAGGACCCGCAGAAGTGTCCACTTACTCTGGGGGCTGGAGTGGGGCTGCGGTGTGCTCAGAAGCAGAAATGTAGACAGTCCTGGCCTCATTCATGCCAGACTCCGTGCAGGGGCCCCTCCTCATGAAGCCCCAGGAGGGTCTTGTCCACCCTCAGAGAGGCTGAGGCCAGACCACACCTCTGAGAGTGTCCCGAAGCCCTCGCCTCCCTAGGACTGGGGAGCACTGCTCCCCAACCCCAGCTCCCTAGGATCGTTGATCTGTAAACTGCGGAGATGCCTGATAGACTTTGCAATGGTGAGTGTGACAACCACATGCTTAGGATTCCAAAAGAAAAAGAAATGAGGTGGAAAAAAGGACTAAGTGGACATGGCCCTTGCTCCCCATTTTTCTCTCTCTCACACCTAGGGTGGCCTCATTCACTTCTCTGGGGGAGCACAGGGGCGTGTCCCACCTGCCGCCCACCAGCTGGGCTGTGACTGCAGGCCAGTCCCTAAGCCTCTCCATGGGTAAATGGGGCCACAAATCCCTGTGTGGAGGGTGCATTGGCCACGCTTGTAGGCCCTGCGCTGGCTGTTTGATGTCTGTTATTCCTAATAACCTCTCCTTGAGTTTGTTGAATCGTAGGGCCAGGTGAGCAGCCGGAGCTGCTTACATCTTTTGGGGAGCATGGAAATCCCATTACAGTGTCCCCGACCTGCCAGTGTCCCTGTAGCTCCTAGGGGACATCTCTACTTCGTTACTTCCTGCCACCATGGCCCTGAAGGCATGTTCAGATGGTCCCTCATCTGCTTCCTGACCCTGTGTGGGACAGGCCTGTGTGGCCCTGTGGGGTGTGCTGTGCTGTGCCTCTCGCTTTGGGAGGAGCTTTGAGTATTAAAGAACTTTCAGTGGCCTTTGCCTCCTGCACGATCACATGAACTAAGACTTGGCACCACACGGAGGGTAAATGGTGTCTACTCCTGCTTCGTGGGGCACCCTGGTGTGTGTGTGTTTTAAGGTGTCCCCTGGGGCCACTCTGGCCTAGTCAGTCTAAGCCACCTTGGAGTGGAGACTTGGCGGCTGGGGCCGGCTCTCAGACTGCAAGCTGCGGGTGGGGTGGGGTGGGGTGGGGTGGGGTGGGGTGGGTGGGGGTAGTCCAGGTCCAGACCCCCAAGTCTCCATCGAGCAGAACCCAGGAGGTAGAGGCCAAGGGCAGAGTTACAGCCTGCAGCCTGGGTTAGACTTGCAGCAGGCCTTCCAGAGGCTGGGCTGCAGGCAGCTGCCATGCAATGGTGAGGAAGGTGGTGCAGAGGGGAACCATAGCCTGCTGCAGGGAGACACCTCCTTGGGGGAGAGGGCCCCCCCCACTTATGGGCCCCTTGGCCTCAGCAAACAATGCTCTCTTGAGCCTCACCTTCCTGACATGGGAAAGTGAGATGGAAAAGTGTGATTGTCCCACTGAAGGGGCTGGGGGTGAGAACGCGAGTCACTGGATGGAAATGGCTTCACAAGGCTGGGCACGCCTAGCATCACTCGGGTCCCTGGGGCAGCCGCTGGCATTCCCGGAACTCGTGGGGGGTTGGCCCACTTGCTGGGGGAGGGGAGGCCCACCGTGGCCTTGGTCATGTTCTCCAGGGCGAGCTGCATGAAGGTTTTCTCCCAGGTCTCCTCCAGGACGTCACTGGCCCTGATGACCATCTCCAGGGTCTGGAACAGCCGGAACTTGTGCCTGCTGGAGATCTGTGGATGGCAGAGCAATGGTGGCTGGGGACAGAACAGGTCAGATCGTGTGGGAGAGGTGGGCAGGGCGTGGACAGGGAGGGGTGTGAGAGGAGCCATTTATCTGCCACTTCATGGTTCTATGACTCCCGGCAAATCCCTTGGCCTCCCTGTGCCTTAGTTTCTCCACCTGCGAGGGTCAGGATCACCGCCTCATGAGCGCATTCCGAGGGTGGTCAATGCATGCGGGTCCAGTGTTTCTCCCTCCCCACTCGGCCCATTTGACATGTGAGGAAACTGAGACTTGCCCCAAGTCATGTAGCTGCTCTAGGCAGGATCCAGGGTTTGAGCCCACCTTGGGGTCCCACCCTCCCGCTCTGCCCCCTGTGCCTGCCCCAGTGGCCCAAGCTGTCCCCACCTCCGGGTTGTCTATGAAGTAGTTGTGGATGGTTTCCATCACCAGCTTGGGGGAGCCACGAGCCATGTTCTTGATCTTCTTGATGATGTACTTCAAGTGGAAGAGGTCGGCACCGTTCATGTCCTGCAGCATCTTGAGGCAGATGGCTAAGGTTGGCAAGAAGGCACGTGTGAGCAGGCTGTGGGTAGCTCACACTGTGGCAGCCAGGCTGGGCGGGCAGTAGGTGGGTCTGGGGATGGAAGGAGTACTCTGAAAATGAGAACTGGGGAATGGATGCGTAAGAAGTCCAGGACCTCCTGACTGTCCAAATGGACTTTCTGGGGTTCAACATAGGTAAGGAGCAGGAGTGCAGGTGCGTGAGCATGTCCTCACTCACCATTCATATTCCCATCCGCCCATCATCCACTCATCCACCTGTCCATCCAGCCATCTGTCCATCCACCCACACGTTCCATCTGTCCATCCTTCCATCTACTAATCCACCTGCTCATCTATCTTTCCATTCATCTACCTGCCCATCCACCCAACATTCAGCTATTCATAAATTTATTCACCCACCCAACCAGTCATGAATTCATCCCTCCATCCTCCCATCCATCCTATCCTCTCACCATCTGTCCAGTCATCCAGCATTCAATGGTGTTTGAATAAGGGAGGGGCCAGGCCTGGACTGCGGTTCTGAGGTGTGAAAGGGAATGGGAGGATAGCGGAGGTGGGGTATAGGGTGAGCTGGGGCATCATTTGGGCTTTTGATGGTGCTTCAGGAGGCCTGAAGAGGCCAAGTCGTGTGAGCAGGGTTCTCTGCTGAAAGCTTCACTATAGCTACACCACTTGATACCCTCAAGGTCCTGGAGCAGAGACTCCCTCTGGTCGTCACCCTCAGGACTGCTGTTGGTGGAGGGACATGGGATCTACTGGAGCCTGACCCCATCTGGGCCGACCCGCCCCTGCCTGTCTGAGCCCAGGGCTGGCAGTCACCTGCACTGTAGGCCTCCGCCATGAACATCCCGTGCTCCTGTGGCATCAGTGCGGCCTGGCTGCTCTGTGACTTGTGAAGCAGGATGGTGGTGGGGTGTGACCATCTGTCCCTGCAGGCAGAGTCCTGGGGTGCCTTCATGCAAGATGAGTCCTTCGTGGATGTGGAGACAGGGAGGGAGATTCTGAAATGGAGGAGGGACCCTGGGTGTTAGCGTCTGAATGTGTGTGTATTTCTGCGTTAGTACAGGGGATGCTGAGCGCAGCATTGGGCTCAGCTACATCTTTCCATGTGTTTGTCCTTCCATTCAATGGACTGGCTGGGCCCTTGGAGGACGGCAGGAGTCTCGAGGCCTCAGGGACACTGTTGAGTAGGCAGCATCACCTGTAGGCCTGGGGGGCCTGGCCTCCCAGCAAGTGTTAGGTTCTGAGGTTGGGTTCGAGACAGACATGGCTGGTGGGACGTTGCAGGGTTCAGGGTATGGCATCCCTAGCTCAGGCTCTTGACTTGAGAGAGCCAATCTCATTCTGACCACATGTGAGACTGCTCCGGTCACCCAGACATCACTGGTGAAGTCCCCGAGGGGAGCAGGGGAGCTGCAGGAGCAGTGAGAACAGAGCAAGGGAGGATGCAGGGGCCTCCAAGGAAGGCCTCCTCTCTTTTCTCCAAGCTGGCCTCTGCCTTCTCCTCTTCTCCTTCCTCAAAGCTGGCCTCTGACTTCTCCTCTCCTTCCTCTTCTCTTGCAAATGTGGGGAAAGCACTATCTCAGGCTGTGTTAGTGGCCGTAAGGGGCCAAAAGAGACCATGTCCTTCCATTCAGGGATGCTGCCCAAACCTGGTCCCCCATCACAACTCCTGCCCGTGGGCTCCTGGGGCAGGAACAGGCTCCTGCTCCATCCACTTCCTGACCTTATTCATTTGTTCACTCTTAGTACCCACTTCCCAGGTGCCTACCATGGGTGGGACATGTTCTAGGCTCCTGAGATGCATCAACGAATGAGATAAAGTCAGCAAATCAAATCAGTGAATTCTGTGGTATATCAGAAGACAGTCCGTCTCTCAATATTTTACCCATTCATTTGTCCTACCATGGGAGGGATGCATGTCAGATCATGCTGCTCAAAATCCACCCATATGCCTCCCATTTCACTCAGAGTAAAACCCAAAGTCCCGAAAATAACATATAAGACAGTGATGCTTCCATCCATGAGGGTGTAACAAGGACCAGCTTCACCCTCCTGTCTTAAACAACTCAAAAATTGGAAAAATATACAAAACCATGATTATCAGACATCAGACAACAGCAGCACAGGATGAAGATCCCTGAAAATGGAAAACTAGCAAGGTGAGCCCAGCGTGGCCACAGCCAGCTGCCTGGGAAGTTTCCAGTTTGCAGTGCGGGGAGGGGGAGCCCAATAAAACCAAGTACTCTCTCTGAGTTGAGGAAGTGGACGTGAAAGTCTGGGGGAGCCAAAGTGGCTGGAGTTTGCTGGGAAGAGTCACAGGAGAGAGCTGCACAAGGAGGAGATAGAGTTCTGAGGCTTTGCAGGGGATCCCCTGCATTCCCCGTCTTCATCTGAGCTCAGTACATTTGGGAAAAGAACCACAAAGCTCCAAAAGGAGTAGAGGGAACAATCTTTGGAACTCACACAGGGCTAGGAAGAGTTCCTTTTCTCATCAGCAAGAGTGGAAAACCTGGTAATTCACAGGGCATTAGGTAGAGTGTTAATGGTATGACCTCAGTAATGGGGGAAAAAAAATCTGCCCTAAACAACAATGCTTTGGCTCTTCCTACTAAAGCTTTAAAATCAAAGCCTCAAAGGAACCAAACTTTTCAAGTAATTTAATTGTGTTAAAGAACAAACCTGAAGAATATTTAAAAAGTACAGGAATATCCAGTACCCAACAAGGCAAAATTCACAATGTCTAGCATCCAATAAAAAATTTGCTAGGCGTGGAAAGAAACAACAACAAAACAAAACAAAACAAAAATCCCTAATGAGGAGAAAAATCAATTAATTTAAACAAACACAGAAATGATATAATTAGTAGACAAGGACATTAAAACAGTTATAAGGTTGGTGCAAAAGTAATTGCGATTTTTGCCATTACTGTTAATAATATATTTCTCATGTCCAGCATGGTAGAGCAAAACATAAGCATGGTAAGGAGAGACATGGGAAATATAAAACAATGAAGAACACATTTCGCATTATGAATACACTAGGTTAGCAGGAGATTAGACAATGTAGAAGCAAAGATGAGTGAACCTGGAGACACAGCAATAGAAACTACCCAAAAATGAAACATATAGAGAAAAAAGACTGGAAAAAACAAAACAGAGCGTTAGTGAGATGTGGGACAACATCACATGGCATTTTGTATGTGGAATTTGCATCCCCACAGGAGAAGGAAAGGGAAAGAAAACATATTTGAGGAAATAATACCTGAACATTTTACAAATTTGATGAAAATTATAAATCCACAGATCCAGGAAATTCAACGAATTCCAAGCAAAAGAAATACAAAGAAAACTACATGAAGACACATTGAAATAATATTGCCCAAAACCAATTATAAGAGCAAATCTTAAAAACAGCCATAGAAAAAAGACACATGAAAGGAATGAAAAGTGAGAGCACAGCTCTTGTTGAAATCAGTGCAAGCCAAGAGATAGTAGTGCAACAATTTAAAGCCCTGAAAGGAAAAAAACAAAACGAAACAACAACCTGCCAAGCTGGAATTCCATACCTAGAGAAAATATCTTTAGAAACGGAAGGTGATATAAAAACACTTTTCATGTACACAAAAACCAGAAGAAGTTGTCATCAGGAGTCCTGCACTACAAAAAAATGTTTGAGAAAGTCTTCCAGACAGAAGGAAAATGGCAACAGATGGAAATAGAAAACTACACAAAAGAATAACGAGCACTGGAAATGGGAAAAATGTAGGTAAATAGAATTTATTTATTAATTTAATTTAATTTAATTAATTAATTATTTTTTGAGACGGAGTCTCGCTCTGTCGCCCAGGCTGGAGTGCAGTGAGCGATCTCGGCTCACTGCAAGCTCCGCCTCCCGGGTTCACGCCATTCTCCTGCCTCAGCCTCCCGAGTAGCTGGGACTACAGGCACCCGCCACCTCGCCCGGCTAATTTTTTTTTGTATTTTTAGTAGAGACGGGGTGTCACCGTGATCTCGATCTCCTGACCTTGTGATCTACCCGCCTCGGCCTCCCAAAGTGCTGGGATTGCAGGCGTGAGCCACCGCGCCTGGCCAATTGTTTTATTTTTAAAATTTAAAGTAAAAATAATAATGCATTGGGGGTTTATAACAAATATAGAAGTAAAATATATAACAATAATAGCACAGAAGCCAGGAGGGGGAAATGGAAACAAAATGTTGGAAGATGCTTATACTTTAATTTTACTTGAAGGTATAATTTCACTTGAAGGTAGACTGAGATAAGTTAACATGTATACTAGAAACCCAAAAGCAATGACTAAATAATAAAATGACACAAAACAAAATATGTGTGGCTAGCAAGTCCACAAAGGAGAGAAAGTGGAGTCATAAAAAATACCCAATGCAAATAAAGGCAGAAGAAGAGAAAAAAATTGCACAAAAAGAGATGAGACAAAGAGAAAACAAATTGCAAGATGGTAGACTAAAACCAAATCATATCAATAGTCGTATTAAATATAAATGATTAAAGCACCACAATCAAATAGCAGAGATTGTCAAATTGAATAAAAAAGCAAGAGCCAAGTGTATATTGCCTATACAAAATCCACTTGAAATATAGCAGATACCAATCAATCAAAAGTAAAAGGATGGAAAACGATATATCATGCTAACACAAATATTAAAAAACTGTGTGGTTATATTAATATCAGGCAAAGTATATTTTAGAGTAAATAACAGGGATAAAGAGAATCAGTTCACTAATCAAGGAGATATAAAAATCTTAAATGTTCATGCATCTAGTCACAGAACTTCAAAACACATAAAGCAAAGAAGTTAGAGCTAGAAGGAAAAACAGACAAGTCAACAATCTTAGTTGAAAATTTCAATACCCATCTATAGATAACTGATAAAATAAGTCGACAGATAATCAGTAAGAATATAAAAGGCTCAAACAATTATTAACCAATATAACTGAATTGACATTTATAGAACTCTAACCACAAAAGAATAAATTTTATTTTCAAATACACATGGTACATTGACCGACACAGACTATATTCTATGCCATAAAAAGTCTTAGCAAGTTGGAAAAGATTCAGATCCAACAAAACATGATATCTGACCACATGAAATTAAATTGGAAATCATAACAGAAAGATAGGTGGAAAATACCTAAGTATTGGGAAACTAAACAACATACTTTTAAATAATCCATAGGTAAAGAAGAAATAAATGGTATGAAAGTAAAAGGTATCTTGAACAAAACAGAAGTGAAAAAACAGCATATCAAAATCCCTGGGGTGCAGCAAATTAAAACACCTGTATTAGAAAAGAATGAAGGTCTGAAATCAGCTTGTAACTGAATAAATTAGGAAAAAACCCAGCATATTAAACTCAAGAAAAAAAGTAGAGCAAAAATTAATGAAATAGAAAATAACAAAAAATAGAGAAAAATCAATGAAACCAGTAGGTGATTTTTTTGAAAAGATGAAAACATTGATAAACCACTAGCAGGATTTATTAGGGCAAAAAAGTGAAAACACAGATTATTAACATCAATAAGAGTGGGTACATCATTACAGGTTCTACAGACATTAAAAGAATAATGAAGGGATATTCTGAATAACTTTGTGCCAACAAACTTGGTGACATAGATGAAATGGACGCATTTCTTAAAGTCATAAAATACCAACGCTTACTCAAGAATTAAATAACAAGAATAACCCTATATTATGAAAATTGAATGTGTAGTTGAAAACTTTCCCACAAAGAAAATTTTAGGCTGTGTTGGCTTCACTCTTGAATTCTATCAAGCGTTTCAGGAAGAAATAATACAAATACTACAAACTCTTCCACAAAATTGAAGAGGAAGGAACACTTCCAACCATTCCATGAGGCAAAACCTGACACTAAAACTAGGAAATAAAGAAAACTACAGCCTAATATCTTCCATGAACAGACACAAACTTTCTTAACAAAACAATTCAAAGTATACAGAA